ACAAATGATCGTTTCCATACCTGAAGGACAGGAAAGAAGGTGACTGTGGAAAACTCCCCACAGTCAGCCGCTGACCGCAGACCGGCAGGTAAGACTCGGGTTTCTCCTCGAAAACACATTCTGATTTTGACCCGTTTCCAAAGTTTGCAGCTGATCGATCACAGAGCCGTTTGTTGTTTCACGCTAAATGTTTGTTCAGCTTCTTCAGATTTTATTGAACATTAGTTTGGTTTTCTTTTTCACACATTTGTATTTTGATAAAATGTTTTTGTACTTTTAAAACATTTGAGTTTATTGCATGTGATCTATTTTCTGATTTATTATTTAAGCATTAAACATGTTTGACATGAACGCGACTCGAACATCAGATAAATTTGTGTTTGCAGTTTTTCAGTGTTTCCTGATATTTTTCCTTTGTGTCGACAGAAGCTTCATATTAAACGCACACAAAGCCACTTTTGTAATTTGATGATAAACTGAGGTAAATGTGACGTCATATCTCAGATGATTTTGAACTCAAAGTTAAGCAGCACCAGGACTTTAACCTCATGTGATCCTTTGTTTCTTTACGTGTGTTTGTGCGTCGCAGGGAGACGTTGGTGTTGTTCCTCCATCATGTATCCTTTGGTCCTCCTCCTGCTGCTGGGGGCGAGGAGCTCAGGTAAACCCGACGATCAGCACACCTGGGCTTCTTTTGGGTCACCTGCAGTTTGGGGTGACAGATGTCATGTGAAATATTACAGACTGTGTATGAAGAGTATCACTCCTCCCACCTGCTCACTACAAAACAGCTTTAGGATCCAAATTATAATAAGAATTCAAAACTCAAACCGAACATTGATTACTGATATTTAATTTTGACATTATTGTCATTAACCATCTTTACTAACAAACTGCAGCTGGTTGGAACTCTGTGGCATCATTTTATTCTCCAATATAATCTGCATGCTTACAGTTTGATCTGAAACACTGATAATCCAACTGTGAACCTGCAGTTCCCCGACTGTCCACCAGAGGCTTCAGCGTAGATACCACTGTTAACATGACCAGTGGCGTGTCTAGAAAATGTTTGTTGGGGGGGCAGGTAGGGGCACAGATTTGGAGAAGGGTGGCAGATAATGTTAAAAACAATTCTACCAACCGTTAACCATAATTCAATAACCCTATAAGCCTTATAACCAAATTTTAACTCTTATTAGAATGAGATTTTAACCACTATGGTGCAAAGTTTTTAGATACTGCGTTGATAAAGTACAAGAGTCAGTGTTCAGTCAGTGTTTATTCAGCAGTCAAGGACATCAATATTTGCATAGTATTTTTACTGACGTGTAGTGCACATGTGTTTTGGGCAAAAACATTTTTGAATATTAAAATATGAACATTTTAACACACAATTGGCAAATTAGCCAATGCCAAACTTTATCTGCCTGTTAAAAAAAGAAGATAATCTTCTCACAAACTGGTGTTTGATTTTGAAACAGGAAAAAAGTGGGGAAACAAATGAAAAGAATAACATTTGAATAAAACCTGAAACCAAGTAAATACTTTCTATGCTGCCTTATGGTAAACTTTGGTAATATTGATGTATAAAGAACAACACTGGCTGATGATGAAATACAGTCAGCTGGCATGGTGACACTGCCAGTATTAACCTGCAGGGCTGGACTGGGACA